TATCGACTGGGAAAAGTTTTGGGTGTATCCTTGATGATAAGGAAGTCAGTACGCAGCCCTAATGGAGAAAACAAAGGCAGGCTGTAAAGTTGGTAGGCCTAGGATGTGGGAACTGCAATAAGGCCTTGAGCTTTGCCAAATGTATCGCCCATAGATCCTAGCTAATGAAAACGCTGTTGCTTGCTTACCTAAAATAAGGATACTGCTTGCTGCTAGCAAGGGGTATAAAAAAGCAGATGAGAAAATAAAACGAAGAAGAGAAGACATCTTTCCTGCACATAACTAACTCCTTGTATCTTTATCGGCCGTCACGACTCTACACTGACAATTAGGAAAGAAAAAAAATGTTTTTACAGGAAAATATATGTGTTAAATCTAGATCAACGGGTCTTAATCAAAGGCTTTCAGTTTTTTAGGATATATCAGGATAGACTACAGAACATACTTCTCCTGTACAGATTCACATATTAGCAGTTTTTAAAGCAGGTGAACCCTTTCTTGTACCTTTCTGCTTTGGCTTTAGAGAGTCCATTGTATGTCTACAACCACATTTTGTGCTCCACAATTAGAGAATAAAAGCTTACATGCACCTTTCACCAAGTAAAAGCAAAGAACAGAAGGAGAGAAAGGAAGAACTAAATAAAACCCACACACAATCAAAAAGTATGAGGGAACAAGAAGTACTTGAATTCTTTAGTTCTTGCAATGTTCTGCTGCCTTATATTACTGCAACTGTAAGAGCAGCCAGGGAACCAGATGGTAACGTTGCTAACCCAGGGTGTTTTGCCAGCAGCTTCTTGCAGGAAGAGATTGGTCAAAGGCTAATGCAGTCTATTCATTAATGTCATGATTTTCTGTACCTAACCCCACTGACCTCTGAGTGGTGAACATCACACTTCCCCTGGGTGGCTTGCTGACCCAAGAGTCACAGTTTTGTGGCTTCAATCTTAACTCTTTTGTTTGTGGTTCTCTGCCTAAACCACCTTAGAGCACTGTCCAGCCTTTTGAGTAAAAACCTGTGTGGTTTCCTATTGGTGCTGACAGAATCAAACTGGAATTTGTTTTTCCTTTAACTAATGTCAATTTGAAAAAGTACCACTTAACAAGAGGTTAAAAGCCTCTCCTGGCTTTTAAGGTTTCTATTTAGATACAGTCTCTCTACTTGGACCTTTGTCATATCATAGTAGCCCTAGATAATTCAGGTTGGAATGCACTTAAATGGACTCTTATCTCTCAAATAAGGAACATCCTGTGTTGGGTTTTTTGGTCGTTTTTTTGTTGTTGTTGTTTTTAAACTGATCTGGCTTTATCAGCATGAGAAGAGATCACAAACTTATAGAAACTTTGATCCCAAATCTTTAAAATTAACAGGTTCAAAAACATTAACCAAAATAAAAAGTTAAAAAAATAAGCCTAAATAGGTTACAATTATGAAGATTAACCATATACATATTACTAATCTCCTTGCACACAGAATAGGAATTAGGACAGAGTCATACATCTTTGTTGTAAAAGTTTCATATAGATAGAGATGTAGATAGAGATCAGAGCTTCTCAGATACAAAACCAGTTAAACTACTTTTGAGATACATGCCCGTGTGTATATCAGTTATTCCACAAGTGCTATGTATAGAAAGCTACTCAAGTCTAAGTCATGGCATATCAAGATCTCTGTTTCAGAAGCCTGTTGTTAAAGTACAGGGCACATAAAAGCTGAGAAGTTGGTAATGAGTTAATCCTGTCTGCTTTATAAAATGTATTGCATCCTGCTTTCAGGTGGGTGCATGTACTTAAGTAAATTACACTTTATGTTGCTTGAAAGTAATGAATGCTAATGACAGATAATGGTGTTTTGTTTCCAATTAGCACTGCCAAGATAGTCACAGGTTTCTAGAGCTCATGATCACTGTATTTTCCAAGAACAGTCTGAGAACTATAAAATTATATAAACAAGTTTTATTTATGCTGAATGTATTTCCTGATTGTTTCCTTCTCAGTTGGCCATAATGCAAATGAACTATATCTCTCTGTAGTTTAAGAATGAAAAAAAAAAAACCAACTATGTCTGTAAAGCCATAATCTGTCACACATTTTTATAGACATCGCTCATTGTTCACTTTGCTAAAAAACAGAGGAAAATTTTTACAACTAAATTCATGTCATAGATTATAGTGAATATTCAGAGAGGTTTAAAATAGAGCAGACTAATGGATAAGCAGTCTGACTCACAAAATATGAGTTTAAATCTGGTATTTCATACTAAGAAATAAGTTTTCTTCACTTAGGTATTCTTCAAAACACTTTCTAATATGAGTTGGCAGGGGATTTGAAATGCTATTTTGGCTCAAATCTATGAAAAAGATGTCTTACGGAGGCAAATAAAGTTGGAGAACTTAAATGACAATCATGTATTGTGCTATGAATTATGTGTTTTCAGGAATGTAAGTATTGTGCTCACAGACATCAAATATGCAGTATATAACAAGTTACTTCCTTTCTACAGTTGCAATGCCTCTTATTTTATAATGGTGTGTGTATTAACTTAGTATTCTGTTGATAGTGTATTTTGGTTCCAAATGTTTACTGCAGGATTTTTATCTCACATCCTTATTTTCTCTATGATTGTGTGTTTTTTTCTCTAATAAAAATGTACAACAACAATAACGTAGCAATGAATTTTTTACCTGCTGTTGCAAGTCTTGCATTCTGCTGGATGTTATATTGGTGGGTAACAGCTCAAGGCCTGCTCAGTGACTACAGAAAGCAGCACTGCTGTTGATAACTTACTGGCCTTTGGACTGGGTCCCAAATGCTCTCCTTTTAAAGCTGACCTTTGGTTGCAGCTGCTTTGGTTTGTAAAACTGTATTGTAAAGAAATATCAACTTCTTATCTGCTGGCAAAAGATGAGAGTTCTTGCGTTCCTTCTCCTCTAACACCACTCACTAGTCCAACACCCTTCTCTACCCAGGAAAGCAGGCAGTATGCCAAAATGCAGCTTCTTAAATTAGACTTTTCATATGTCTGTCTGCCAGATCTGGGTGGTATGTCATCTCTCTGTTTCGAACATTGCAATAATTTCTTAGGTCTAAATCATAAACCTTGTATATATGACTAGATACATGATTTAACCCTGATGCTGCCAGTGCTTTAGTTCACCTTACATAATCCTGTAATTTCATTTAACAGGCTACTAAAATCATTGCAAAATAATACAGAATGCTTATTATGTTCTACAAATAGAAGATGTTTCTTGCACCATTTCAATAGGATGGTTTATAAATTTGGATAATTAATTTTCAAGGAACTAGATGACTCTCATTATCCAGGAAGTCAATGCTCTGCGGTCATTATGTTCTGTAGAGCTCAGTTGGCTTTGGGAAAAATCTTCAAAAGTATTACTTTCATGTCACCTGTATGGCCACTTTCTGCAACTACTGTAGCAAATGGATTTCACTTCTCTGAGATACTGACATCAGCATAATTCATTCACTCACATGAATGACTTCTGGCTAAATAACGAAATTAATGCACAACAATTATAGTTGCATTTTCAGTTCAAAAAAACACCACAGACATTTGTAGCTGAAAACTGACTGTGAGAGTTGTGCCTAGCCAGACACAATTCAAAACAGCTTGGCTGTCAGTTTTCAGATACACACAATCAGTGGTCTCAAGTGAGATAGAGCGCATGCATTATTCTCAGAAATTATTCCAAGAATAATATAGATAGCTATTAAGTTCAAGAAATTAAAAATCTGATTACAGGCTGTTTGTGAACAAAGAAGTCAAAATTAGTTTAAGAAAATAATTGTTACAGATTGCATGTTTATCTCTATTGCACTTGTGAAATATTTCTACTTACACTCCACTGTCAACTAAGCTTCTCTCTCAAGGGTAAACTAATATTTTTAAAATAGTAATCCAATATGGAAAATGGCCTGAGCAATAATGTTATAATTAATGCAATATTGAGCTGATTGCCTGGTTCTGTTAATTTTGTGAGTCTATCTCACACAGTGTCCAAGAAAAAAGAAGCAAAAGTGACAACAACTGAAAACTAACACAGAGAAAGTGTCACATTTTCTCTTTGGTTCACTGCAGATCAAAGAAGTACAATGTAGTAGAATTCGTGGAGTTTGCAAGTTTTTCTGGGCAGAGACTGATTCTTGTTATGTCTGCCTGGTACCCAAGAACCAAAGTAGTCTGATCCTGAATTTGGTATCAGGTGCCACTCCACATAATAGCTGGGAATTGCTGATTATCAGGATGTAACTATTATCTAACATATTTTGGTAATGTTTTAATATGTTATTTACATAATTTTTGAAAACAATGAAAAAGTGAGTTTGAGACTTATAAGTCTGATTTTGCAGTCCTTGACCCCATTTCTTTCAATATGTGTTTTATTGATTACTGTATAAGAACTTTCCATGGATATCCAATAACTGTAAGGAAAAAGGCTGTGGAGAATCAGGTTTCTTTCTACAGGCAGTGGAATCATGCTTTCTTCTTCAGGATCAAAGCTGGAAACCTGTCAGTGTTTTTGGTAAATATAAGTAGTTTACAGGTTCCACACCATACAATACAGTCAGCTTTGTGAAAGCAAACTGTGCTGAGTTTGATAATACATAAATGTTTGGAATTACAGGTAAATGAGATCAGCATCTCTTTTGGCAGTTTAACAATACTGAATGATACAGTGGATGGTCTTTTTGCAGACTTTATTTTTGCAAATAGAATTTCTTCAGTCTTTGTCACATCTAGGTTTACATATTTCGGATCAAATTTGTTTTATGCTCAGTAGATAAGAAATGTGATGTAGCCATTATTGTCACTGATACATTTTCCTTCATGTTTTTAAAGACTTGCTATCCCTGAAACTAACTGGACTTTACTATCATGTCAGAGAGTTAAAATACATTTCATTTGCTGCGCTCTGTTTTTGTTTTGAGTTGGTTACCCAGGATAATAGTGACATGGCTTTCTGAATTTGTTACAGTGTGCCTGAATATTATGACTACGGTCATGGAACAAGTGAAGAGGCTTATGACAGCTACGGTAAGGTCTGTTGTACCTTCAGCAAGTGTGAAATCAAAAGAAAATATCTGTCACTGACAACTCAGAAATTACTTCCATATTCTTTTCTTTCTTTCTCTGCTTTTACAAAGATCAAACAAAATAGATTTGTGTAACTTTAGGGTGAATTTTGACTTATTGAAGTAGGACCAGAAAATTGGACTTATCAATTCCAATTAAAATTACAAAGCCAATTACTCACAGTCACAGGTCAGTTTAACTGAACTTCAGCAACACTGAAGTTTCTGATTAGCACCTGAATATATTTCACAGTGTTAAATTTCAATCTGCTTGATATGCCGACAATACTATGCATCTGCTGCTGTCATGTGCATCACTTCAACCAGCAAGGTTTGTGAGATTTTGAAATACAGTCTTTAATCAAAACGGAAAGAAGGAAAGGGCGCTGTAACACCATGGGAACCCCCACTGTACTAAGATAAGGGAGCATCTCATGCCACACTAAGCAGTATGAGTAGAGGGAGAGTTGTACTCTGCACTTCCTCACCGAGTCTGTGTCTGAGCTGGAAAAGTTCAACTTCATGGGAACCAAGGGCATGAAAGGAAACGAAGTGTTGCTCCAATGAGTACAAACCATTTTCTAGATTGCTTGCTATTAGTGATATGCTTTGATCCGTGTTTTCCTGACAGTAGTTATCATTACACTATACCATCAGATGGCAGAGTGAATCTCACTCTGAGAGTTTCACTGAAATAATAGAGCAAAGCTGACTACTGACAGCTTAAAGAGTGAACCTAGCATATTCAGGAGAAATGTCATGCTTGATTTACTGCTACTAATAAAGTATCCTATGTCTACATGGTGACTTCTGAAGCACTGTGAAAATGAGAGCTGGTGGAAATCATGCTGCAAATCAAAGTTACACTGAGGGGTTATATAAGGGTTGCTGCTTGAAATAATTTTATTCATGCAGCTGTGAAGTAAATGTCACTGTAATGCAAACTTGCAGTTTCCTTTGTATTGGTATAGAAATAGACATTACTGAGATGTCAAAATGGTTGCATTGCATAATCAGAAATAACTTAATTTCTTTGTATAATCAGTTCTCACAATACATTTGGATAATATAATGTGCAGTCAAGCACATTTTCAATGCTAAACAAGTAATAATAATAACTTATCCGTATGAATGTGAGTGGTTTGGTTACCCTTTGTTTTGTTTCCTTTTTGCCCATGCATTTTTAATATCTGCAGTGGAATATCTTTCTTCCCCTCTCCACTGATCTCCTGAATGCATTGCTAAGCTTTTGGGCTATGCAGAAAAGCATAGTCTGAGCTCAGCAGTAAGAATTACCCACTGTTTAACTTTTAATTACACTTCACCATGCTGAATCTCTATGTGCCTGGGCTAGACATTTAAAGTAGTGTCACTTTCCTTCCAATCTCTCATTTGTAAAACCAGAAGAATATCACTTGTTTTCCCAGCAGGGATTTTGAATGGACTAATTAGCTAAGGCTTACAAAGTGTTCGTACAGTGGCGTCATGACTAAATTTATGTTATGCATGCAGCTCCTTTTTTTTTTCTTTCCATTCAGCAGCTGAAACAAATTCAAAATACCTGAGTTTCCTTTACTAGATTTGTCTTAAAATACATAGCTGATAACTGTGGACTTGCTTTGGTTTTTGCTTGAACTATTTTTTGAGCTGGCATTTGAGCACAAAGATCAGAAATAGTATTATCAAAAACCTAGAATAAACATGGAATAATATTCCAAATTGAAATTTTGCTACTTTCTGAAAACAGATATGTTTATGTGTAAGTGTTTGTGCTCCTGTTGGTTCATTTACTTTAGCAGATTAGTAAATTTGCTAGTTCTGTGGTTTGGAAATCTGTGTGTGAACTTCCTTCATCCCAAAGTCACCACCATTTATCTGAGGAGGTAATCTGAGTATACAGAGCTGTAGAGCTGTAGAATCTATGCTTAACTTCCTTACTTTCTGAGTTCCTGGTGCATACACTGATGTTCGCTCTGTATCTGATTTGGGGCATCACCCCTTATCATCCTCTCACTTAAATTTACCCTAATTCTCTGTCCCCAGTTTTTACTTGGTTTTCAGGATGTTTCACAATTCATTGTGTCTCCTGAATCCATCCCACTGTATAAAATCAGCTGTCCCTTCATTTTTCACCATCCTGCAGAAATCAACAGTCTTTCATCTCAGTTCAGTTTCACACTTTGTTTTACCTTCCATAACAAGGCCATATTCCTCCTTTACAATTCTTTCTGGCATACCTCTGCAATTGAGAATTCCCTCAAACTGAATAAGACCACATACAAATGGTACATGAGCATAGAACTGGTGTCTTGTTGTCATGTCTTAGGTGTTTTGTGTAACAACTTGTCTTTTCACCCTTATCCATTCCAGTAACAATATCTGAATTATCAAAGATTTACTAGTTAGGCGTTTCTTTACTTTCTCCCATGCATCCTCTTGCTTCCAGCTTATTTTTAGGGAGGTCAGTCTCAATCCTCAGAAGGTTTTCTTTCATTTTCCATGAAGCAATGAATACTAGTAACATTACTTCATACTTACAATCTTTTTAAAGTATGAAATAGAGCTCTGTGTTACTTGCTAAGTATTATACAGCACCATATGATATGGTACTCCTCTATGAGCTGCCTCCTAGGACTTCTCGTTCTATCTGTTCTCCTAAGAAGTAGCAGGTGGGTTTTGTCTCATGGGTTCTTCTATGCTCCTTTTAAAAGCACTTGTGGAGAATTCTGACTAGGGAAACCGTTTCCACAGAAGTTCATAAAGATTTATGGATTTATGGATTGTTCACAGTATGGTTGGAGAAATCACAGGGGTGTTTCAGAGCAGAGCCCACCCAAACACCATTTAATCCTCAGGAAGTTCCATATCTCTTTTGATTAGATGGAAGTACTAAACAAGAAAGGGCCTAAGTCACTTATCTGAGGCTGGGCAAGATGGATTCCTACACACTATTCACCGCTCTAAAATCCACAACTAAAGTGCCTTAACAACTTTCTCATTTTCTATTGTGAAATTTCCTGAGAATTCCATCCCGTTCAAATCCAACCAAGGAAACCCCCAAGACAATAGCAAAGTCAGCTGAAAGGGGTATTTATAAAATTGCACTACTTCCCATGACTTAGGAATGTTCCATGAATGAAAATTCAGAGCACAGAACCCTCTCATGTAGTTAGATTCTTAAGCTCTATTGTGACACGCTTGTCACCCAGTCTCTCAGAAGGATCAAAGTAGAGACACTTCAAAGCATTCCCTGCAGCAGTCTCTGGGCACATGGAAATACACTACCAAGGAATTATGAGATTCCTACAAATTTTTTATAGGATCAGGATTATGCAGCTACTGCTAGAAATTTTGAAGATCACCGTTCCAGGCTGAGGAACATAAATTTGGGACGCAAACCTGAAAATCTTCTTGGGGATGTAGCCCTTATAGGCTTCCTCATGTGAGTTGTAAAGAAATATCTTTAGCAGGCTCTTTAAAGATAAAAGACCAGTCATTTAAAGTACTGTACAATTTTCAAAAATGTAAATCATCCTCATCTCTAATCACACTCAATAAACATTTATGATACTTATGCTACCGAAGGTTTTTATATATCTGCAGATAAGATTTTAAATCTAGGAGTCTAAACTAAGGTGACGGTGTCATGTTAACTTGATGTTTATGTTTTAAAAGAGAAGGCATGAAATTGGATTCATTTATGAACAAAAAGGTTTATATTCCTTGCTCTCATTATGCTTTAATAATTTTTTGGTTTCCCTTCTGGCAGTGTTGTCATCTGAGGAGATATCTAGAGAAAACATTAATTTAATGATTTTTCTTATAAATCGATTAGGATATAATGTACACCTAAAATTTGGTAACTATGAACCTTTCCTTCCTATATGTAATATCATGCCCAACTCCAAAAAGCAGCTTCACTGGACAGGACTGCTGTACATGAAAAGCCCTTCGTAAACTGTTCACGTTCTCATTTCTCTTTCCATTTCCCTGTTTTGTTTTTTTTAGAGGAAACAGAATTCTTGATAAAGTGTTGGGGTCTGTTAGGCCACATTAGAAAGATAACAGAGAGTATGACTTGCTAGCAAGGCACATCCAATGCCTTAGAAGCTGTATTAATTACATCTGACCTGCCTCACAGTTGTTTCATCTGAACCCTTTTTCACCCTTGTACTGATCAGAGCACTCAAGGCTTTGTTTATCAGCTACTGTTTCTGGCTTTGTTCTTCCAAAGGCTGGGGATTCCAGCAGTAAGCTCTGCCAGTTGCTGCTGCAGAAGGTTGAAGAGGCTCCCACCCCTGCTTCCAGAGCTTGAGACTGCCATAGCAGTGAGAGTGTGCCTGTTGTCAGATGCTTTAGTTCAAAGCCTGGTGCATATCCTGGCTTGTGTGTTGCTTGAAAATGGTGGCAATTATGTTTTTATGTCAGGTCATGAACTGCCGTATCTGAGAGGCTAGTACACACAGACTTCTTGCTGCTACTACCAAAAAAGCAGAAACCTTAGGTAGAGGGTGAAAGGATAGGGTTAAAGTCTATAACCTCCTAAACCACCACAATTAAATTAGAATAACACCACCTGCCAAAGGCCTTAGGCAAGAGTTAGGAAGGTTAATCTGAAGCTTGCCACTTACACAAAGAGGGAAGACATAAATGAACTCCACTCACATCCTTGCTGCTTTTCAGGAGAAGCTTGCAAGGCTGTTTACTGCATGTACTGCTGTTGCATCAAGGAGACATTGTTTTGTTTTCTGTCTTCACCAGAAATTTTCAGCTGTTCAGATTTTCTCTAATGACCATGTTTTGTGGTGCATATTCTACTCCAGTTTAGCATTAAGTGCTCGCAAACAACTGGGTATTTGGCTTTAGGATAATTCCATCTTTTAATTAAAATTGGAGAGTGTAACTGTTTAGTATAATTCCTTTTAATGTAAGACATCATTTAAGTTGTAAAATGCTGCCACT